AAGGCTTTTACCTTTGCTTTCTTTTTGTAGAACATGTTTATAAAGACATTTAACTTTTGTTTTCCATTCTTTACATCCCAAGCTAAAGTAGGTTAGCAAATGTTAAGAAATCCTCATACAATCAAGAATGGCTTCTCTCTTCCTAACCACACTTCACAGTTTTTAATTTTTGTAATTGGAGTTATTTTCTGGGTCACATTAATATTTTAAATTGTTTTTTACATTGTCATATTCTCTCTTATGATTTCTTTTTGACATGCATATCATAACCAATTAACAGAATTGCTTTAGATTTAATTGTTTCAGAGTTTGGCACCAGTGTTTTTATACCACATCTTCCCCTTTATTGAATTCTTTATTTTGATTAATCTTTTATTAAAGTAAAGCATTGCTTGAATGATTCCCTCCACCCAATGAAAATTGCATTGGTACAATTTCTTTTAAGCCTTTATATGTCTAAATAATATATTTCTGATGTCTTTGAGCAAGTTGTCTGGGTTGAGAATTCTTTAGTCAGAAGATTTTATCCTCATATGCTCTAATTCTTCAAGGTATTGTTTCTGTTAAACTGTAGTATCTTTTTTTAATTTTATTATTTTATTTTATTTTATTTTTTTGGAGACAAGGTCTCACTCTCTTGTCCAGGCTGGAGGACAGTGACATGGTCATAAATCACTGCAGCCTTGAAGTCCGAGGCTTAAACAATCCTCCTCCCTCAGCCTCCTGAGTAGCTGAGATTGCAGGTGTGGCTAATCATGCCTGGCTAATGTGGCCACCATGCCTGGCTAATTTTTTATTTTTTGTAGAGATGGGGTCTTGCCGCGTTGCCCAGACTGATCTCAAACTCCTGGCCTCAAGTAATCCTCCTGCTTTGACCTCACAAGGTGCTGAGATTATAGGCATGAGCCACTGTGCCTGGCCTAAACTGTAGTATCTTTTTCATAGTGATAATTGTTTTCTCTGCTGCTTCTTTGTAATGGAATTATGCTTGCCCAGGTTGGGCATACAGCAGGAATTAAAGCTGTTTTCTTTCACTGATTGATATGAGTTCCTGCCAAATCTATCAGGCCTAGCAAGATTTACTATATTTGCTCTATCAATGTGAGAAATGTGGAAAAGCAGCTAGAACTAGAACTGGAAGCAGAAATAGCAAGAAAATTTGCCTCTGTTGTAAGCATTTCTTTATTGTAATTAGTGTTCTTGCTGTTGACAGTAGGGATATAAATATACCCCTGGCAACTGCATAGTCTACCTACGGCCAGCCTTTACTCAAACTCTGACTTAAGTCTGTGATGGTGACCTTTTGCTGTATCTCCGTATTATTTACCTATCATGGCTACTCTTTTGGATGTAAATCACTAGTCATCCTTTTCTTCTATCCCAGTTTTGTAGAAATTTCTCCAGAGCTTTTTTGTTTTGCATGATTCTTGCCTAGTTTTGAGTGCTGAAGCAGATACTCCCCTTTGCTTATTGCCGTAATGACTAAAAGTCTTCTCTATAATAGTTCATCACGTTTATAAGATTATATAGAATATTATTAGTCTGTCAATTAATATGATAATCATAGTTCATGATACCAGATTAGCTAATGATTGAAGTGCACTTTAATTGCTCTCTTTTAAATGAGGTAAGCATAAATGAGTTGCTTTTAATTCTCCAGGAAGAGACTATATTTGGGTTCTTATATGGAGACATATGTCATATCTATATCTGTATTTACCTGCCTATATAGAGATAGTGACAATCTCAGTGCCCACTTCTTCCTACACTCTAACCATGAAGCCCTATTTTTTTCTGTCTCTCAATCTCATCTTCTCCCTTCTAAAAGAGCAAGACAAAATTTCCCTTAAATTAAAAAAAATTTAAGAGAAGATAGTAAATTTAAAATTTTCTATGGAAATAAAAAACAAGGTGAAAGTCATAACTATAATGCTCTAATTTTGTTTTGATTTTTTTTTAAGGTAAAGAGTAAAAGGGTTGCAAATATATATTATTTTACCCTGTATAGCTATAACAACGGTATAAGCTAGGGTCTGTAATTAACATTTTGCAGAATCTGGACTTTTCATTTAGAACACCTAAACAATACTTTATGGGTATAACTTTACTAACTTTGCAGAAATCTCCTAATTTTTGACCAGGTTAGAAAAATAGCAAATTTGTAGGAAAATGAAGGAAAGGAAAAAAAAGTCTTTTCCTAAGTAAACCTTTTTTTTAACAATTAAGAACATGGTTTCTAGGATTTAAACTGACTTAATATTTAATGAAAATGTTTTTCTGTATCAAGAAGAAGGATTTGTTGAGATATTTGATGGCTACCATTTGCTTATTTATCCTACTCATTAAATACAATATATTAGCATTTATATATGAGTTATTTATGATCAGTGACAGTCAAATAGAGGAAGTAAGAAGAAAAGGAGGACTCAAAAGTAGAAATGAGAATTCTCTCTTGTGTAACTCAGTAATAGACAGATTTGAGTGGTGGATGCAGGGCAAGGGGAAGAAGTAAACACAGTTATATAGTTAAGTTTGGTTTTGGTTATGCTACATTTTTAAAGAAGGTGTAAATATAAAAATGTATCTGATAGGTACTTAGAAAGATGGTCTGAAATCTAGGAGAGAATTCAGTTAAGGAGGTTAGATTTGTGAGTTATCATAAATGATAATGATAAGTGATACTTGAATTAACAAAATAGGTAAATTTTCTAAGAAGAGAATAAACAACAGGAATAAGACTAACTTAAAGAAACACTATCAGAGAAGTTACTGAAGAACCACAGAGGGCGCTTTTTGCTTAAGCCAAGTTAGAAAAAAGAGTTTTTTGTACTTAGATAACAATACCTGAAATACCTTTCTGTGAATTTTACATGAATTTCCAGGAGATTTTGTGATTTTCAAAAGCCCTTTGCATTTTATGGAAATTTATTAACAATTATGGATAGTCCAATAGCATTTCTATAAACAATAATACCCTGACAAAATATAATAGAATCTCATGTGGCTGAGAGACAATAGGCAAGGCATGGTTGACAGTGAAGGAAATATTCTTAGAAATTGAGAGTAGTACTATAAAAAATGAGTGGCAAATTTATCCCTCAGTTGGTGTTTTGAGTATTTGACTGAAATACTCAGAGTTATAAAGGTTATCTCCTCAGTAGCCTTTAACTTATGAAATTTAAATATTTATGTGGGAAATTTTTTTATTTTTTTTACCGATGGGAGGAGGTGGATACCACCAGCCTGGCTGCCACTTAGGAGCAGCCCATGTAGGAAATTTTTTTAAACTTTTCTTGTTGCAATTAGTGAAAGTAGAATTTACTTTGTAAAAATATTGTAATTATGAGAACATTTGTCTTAAGTTACATGTAGCTAAGGGTTTTAAACTTGGTTGAGTGAAACTTAGGAAAGAGTTATTTTCTGTGCCCTGTTAATTGACATAGGGACAAGATCATTGTCTTTTCTTGTTTATTTAATAACTTAATTCTTTTTTAATTTGTAGAACCTAATCCACCAATAGATCAAGTTATACAGAAACCAGGAGTCGTACAGAGATTTGTGAAATTTCTTGAAAGAAATGAAAATTGTACTCTACAAGTGAGTCTAAAGTTCGCTTTCTTAATTTCTTTCTAGAAATGACATATGATTAAAGTTTTTAGTAAAAGCAACTTCCACAATACTGACTATATTGTAAGCATTCAGTAAATACTTGGCAATTAAAGGAAAAGGCAGTGCGAACTGTCTTGCCTTGGGCATGGTTGCAGTGCTGATTTTTTCTGGGAATTGTTACTTTATTAAACAATTTTGGAAAAATATATGATATCATTACTAATGTTAATAAAAATTTTATAGTTGTCAACCTTTAGTAACTCTATATTTTTGAAAATCCCAAACTAAAATGTTAACTTAATGGTTAAATTTATTTTGGTTCTTAGCTAACTAGGGTTGTAACTTTTATCTGTTAAAACATTTTTAGCTAATCAAGTAGCTCTTTTTTCCAAAAAAGAGTAAGTCAGTATTATCTACTAAAAATGTACCAAAGTTAAGAGTTGTCCTAAAAAGCATTGCTTCTCAACCATGACATAGTTATAGTTTTAAGATGTCCTTCAAATAATTTGCTACTAATGGTAAATTACTAAAGTTTGCAAATATTTTAATGTTTTTTAAAAAAGATTGTATTCCCTGACTTTTATTAATGTGTCTTAAGTAAGAGTACTGGGTGGAATTCTATCCATGTATCAGGAGTTGCACAAGATTTACACCTGGCTTATCAGCGCTATTGTTGGTAATGGAGGACTGTTATTTGAGTAACAGTTGTTGAATGTACAACTTAAGAGTTGTAAATTGGGAGATATTTTAGGTGTAAGCAAAGGAATGTGGTGCACATACGAATGTGAAAAATTGTCGAAAATGTTTACAATAAAGGTCTCTGAGGAAAAGGCTACTTTATTTATGTTATGATTTTATTGTCAGTTATTTTGAACTAGAGATCATGAGATCTAGTTCCTTTGCTTTATATAAACCCTGAGTCTAGACTAAAATCCAGGCCTCCTGATACCTAGTTTATTATTTGGCTTTTTAATTCCAACTGAATGAAAGAAGAAATGAGTGAATATGAATAAATAAAATTGAGTGCTGGTTTGAGCCAAACATTACGGAAGATATTGTAGTTCCAAAATTAAGACGTTGTCCCTGTCTACAGAAGTTCTTTACTCTCTGCTGGGAAAGGCAGACATAAAACAGATCTGTGATAAACAAAAGCGCTCTGGGAACACAGAGAATATAGCAACTTATTCTATTTAGGGGAAGTCAGGGAAGACTTCACAAAGGTAGTGTTGCAGGACTGATGTCAAGGATGAAGGAGATTTTGCAGACTGAAAAAAGGAAAATTATTCGGTTGAGAGGATAGCATATGCAGAGAGCTTCAACCTGGGGCTCATAGGCCAGATTGGCCTACAGACAAATTTTGTTTGGCCTGTACGTGTTTTAAAACGTGAATTAGATGCTGGACTTTTAAAAATTGGGGAGATTCAAATGAATATCCAGATTTTTGGCTTCTTTTGACAAATCAGAAGAGTTGGCATTGTTGCCAGATAGTAAAGGTGAAATGAAACTGAACAAGAGTTCCGCCTCTTTGTTTTTAATTAGTTCTTTTTTAAAAAAATTATAGCCATATACTCCAGTTTTTCACAGTTCTCACTTGCTTATAATTGTCTGCTGGTAGGTTTATGAATTTACCAGTCTTCGCTAATGCTTTCTCCTAGGGATACCAAGGACAATTTTGTAAAGTTACCTTTTAATTGTCCTTTAGTTTATTTCATTATCTACAATCAGGATTATGGTCTTCATTATTTTTTGACAAAATTCCTTCTCAACATGGACGAAGCAGAGTAACATAAAAATAAATAAATAAAATAAATTCCTTCCTTAAAATTTTTTCTCAATTTTACACATAATAGTAACTGTACTTTTCAGTATTTTTGTAATGCTTTCTGAGTGCATTTTTTATTATTCATAATGATGTCTATGTTCATGTGAAGAGTTGTCTATGTGAAATATTTTTTAAACTATAGTTGCTACTTAGCTTGGCTGTGGATTTGTAAGTTGCTTTTAGTAATTCAATAGTATATTGTTTTGGAGTCATGGTTGAATTTTCTCAGTTGCTTCTATTATAAATCCATAATGTATATTTGAATTTTAATTGAATTGATACTGAGTAACTTTTCAAAGGTTCTGCTGCTTAAAGAATACCAGAAGTCCTAATCTTGGATCTGCTAATAATGAACACTTGATGTTGAACAAATACCTATATACTTCAACTTCTGATTTTCTTGTTTCTTAAAAGAGGAGGTTGGGGTTACTTAGGGAAACTTTATGATCTTAAGTTCCCTATCACTCTATTAAGTAGTGTCTCTTATTTATTTTTTATTTTTATTTTTAATTATTATGAGTACATAAAAGTTGTATGTCTTTATTCTTATTTATTTTTAACTGCTTGCTTTAGAACACTTGGCTCTTTAATAGTAAATATTAGGAATTTTATGAATTATAAATTCAAATGTGTTTATATTTTGTTAATTTTGTAAATTTTCATTATATTCTTTCTCAGTTCTTATTTTTCCATATTGAAGAATGCTGTTTTCCCCTAAAGGATTTTGTCTATGAAATCTGACTTCACAATAAATCTTATTAATTATGTCAGTCTTTCTCTCACACTAGTCCAGTAAAGTCTTTACTCCTTCTCTTCTTCCCTTCTCCTTTCTCACATTTTTTTGGTGCTTTTATTTATTTTACTTTTTTCCCCTTAGTTTGAAGCTGCATGGGCATTAACTAATATAGCATCTGGAACTTTTTTGCATACCAAGGTAGTGATTGAAACTGGGGCTGTTCCAATTTTTATCAAACTTCTTAATTCCGAACATGAAGATGTTCAGGAACAGGTAAGTTTCTAATTTGTATTGTTATATGTAATAGAATTTAATTTTCTCTGAAAGTACCATTTGTGATTATGATTTGTAATTCATTTTCTCATATTTTAAACATTAAATATAACTTTCACAATTGAAAGTAACATGTACTTTTGTACTTACATGAAAAATTTGAAGTGAGAACATAATAAATGATAACTGCATTTACATAATTTCTCAGCTAATTGAAATTTAGTAAGTGAATAATTTGATCTTTTACTACCATTTATTTTGTTGTTGTTGTTGAGACAGGGTCTCACTCTGTTACCTGGGCTAGAGTGCAGTGGCGTCATCATAGCTCACTGCAGCCTCAAACTCTTGGGCTCAAACAATCCTCCTGCCTCATCCTCCCAAGTAGCTGGAACTACAGGCTTGTGCCAGTAGGCCCAGCTAATTTTATTTTATTTTTTTGGTAGAAATGGGATCTCACTATTGCCCAGGCTGTTTCTGGCTTCAAGCGATCCTCCTGCCCCAGCCTCCCAAAGTACTAGCATTATAGGCATGAGCCACCGCACCCGGCACTGCTACCATTTATTTGAAAAATTAAAATGAACCCCAACTAATCTTAAAGTTATTTTTAGGGATCAATTCAAGCTAATTCTCACATTAGCTATTAGCTCATTTTTCTATGCTTTGTCTCTTTCCCCTCTTCTTTTACAAATCTATCCCTTCCCATTGAGTGGATTTCTTGGCATAGGATCAAACCTCTATCAGTACAGTCACATGTCACTTAAAGACGGGGATACGGTCTGAGAAATATGTCATCATATGATTTCATGGTTGTGTGAACAACATAAAGTATACTTATGTAAACCTAGATGGTGCAGCCTACTATTCACCCAGGCTGTATGGTATAGCCTGTTGCCCCTAGGCTACAAACCTGTACAGCATGTTACTGTACTGAATACGGTAGGCAGTTGTAACACAATGATAAATATTTGTATATCTAAGCACAGAAAAGGTACAGTAAAAATAGGGTATTATAATCTTACGGGACCACCATTGTATATGTGGTCTTTTGTTGACTGAAATGTTGTTATGTGGTATGTGATTACCTGGAAAATTCACTAAATAAATATATTTTGTCTCTCCATGTAGATTCAGAGTAGAAAAACTATGCTTTGTTGAACATTATAGATACTTCACTAGTATACAAGGAAAACGTTTAAAATGCCCTTTCAGTTTGATTAAAAATATTATTAAATTGCATTTTAAAAGTTTTCCTTTCTTACTGCCCTAATTTTTTTTTACATGTTGCTAAAAGCTATCACTTTGTTCATTGTATACTAAAATCTCATTCTTAAAAGAGAGCATCTTATTTTAGATATTATCTTAAGATTATATTTTGTTCTTATTTTTCTAAGGCGGTTTGGGCACTTGGTAATATTGCTGGTGACAACGCAGAATGCAGAGATTTTGTATTGAATTGTGAAATACTTCCACCTCTGTTAGAGTAAGTACTTTGTTTGAATTTATCACAATTAAGTATATATCACAAACTATATATACTGCTATATTTCCACATACACAATTAAGTTCTTCAGTGATGCTTTTAAATTTGGCTTATGTTAACTGTGCTTTCAGTAGCTTGAAAATAAATAAAACCAAGAGAAATTTTCAAATTCTGTTACATTTATGTCTTTTATATTATCTTAAGCCATACTTAGCACTACAGTGATCATTGCTTACTTGATGCTTACAGTGCTAAAATAATTACTCTACAAAACAAGGATATATAGTCGTTTATAATACAATAAAATTTAAATGTTATGGTAGCAGGGAATCTTTAATACTTGAACAGATGGTGTATGTAGGATGTCAGGAGGTTTTTATACTTGATTTTGAAATGTTCGGAGAACAAAAATCTTAAGAGATTTTTCTTTCAGGATTAGAATTTTATTTAAAGTGACTTATCTAGTGGTGTCTTCTTCAACTTTACACATTTTTAAAAAAGAAATTACCCTGTAAAGTCCTTTATAGATATGACGTAAAATTATTTGAAAGATAAGTTTTTTTATACTTGTTGTTAATGATTCACTAAGAGGATCTTTATTAGTCAATGGCAAGTGGTGAAAAAAAACTGAATTGAAATGGTTAGAAGGAAAAATTTTATCATTTCTGTGCCATTCTCCATACTCTCAAGCTAAGGTATTAAATTGGAAGAATGAATTTCTAGATGTTAGTTTGCAAAAGACGTTTTACTCCTGTAGATAAAGTAGCTTTCTGTGGAAAGAAGTGATTTCTCAGCATGATTCCATTTAACCAGTATTAATTGAGGACCTACTGTGTGCAAGCCATTGAACCACTCAGTACAATTTCATTTATTATGGGCTTATTCAGAGTTAATGTTTGATAGTATTTGAAAATTTAGCTGCGCTATAAGAAAATACTAATTTAGAATTCAATATCAGAGTCATTTTGAAGTCTATACTATTAAAATATCTCTTAGACTTTCAATTTGAGATTTTTCTGATCTGATTTATATACTTTTTACTTTTCATTCTCTGTCTCTGGGTCATTTTATTGTTTGTTAATATCTCAAGTTGGTAGCTATTTACGAACTAGTAAGCATTTCTTGGGTCTAATCCATTTAAAAGTCCTAAGTAGCTTTTTAATCATACCTGAAGAAATCAAACTAAAAAATAAAACTAATGGAGAGCAAACAGTACCCAGCTATGTAGTACTAGTTATAAATATAATACATTTCAGAAAAGTGTTGAAAAGTTGGAAAGTTTCAGAGTTTCATTATAAAATTTGATCGTAGAAAGTTTTAAAGTTTCATAAAAAATTGAGAAAAGTAATAAAAAGGAATTTACGTTGGGGTACTAGATGCTCTTTATTTGGGTAAGAGGAAAAAGTTAATACCTTAATAATAATTATAGATTATCTGTTCACATTGAAATTCACATTTAGCTAATGCCTAAGTAAATATAAAACTCCTATTTATATATCATTTGATCGGTTCTGTGTGAGTGATATTTATTACTAATTCATTTGATTCTCAGTAAATGTAAATCTTTTACTACTTTAGACTATATCCTGGCATACTTTGTTGGTTTAATTTAATTCAGCTTTAATTTATAATATATTAATAGCATATCTGGACAAGAAAAAATTTATACTTTTCCATAATGACCTCATTGACACAAAAAAAGAACAATAATATAGAATAGGGGTTGGCCAACTTCTGCCCTCAGGCCAAATCTGGCTTGCTCCCTATTTTTGTAAATTAAGTTTTATTGTAACACAGTCAGACGCATTCACTTATTTAATGTCTTTGGTTGCTTTCACGATGTGTCAGCAGAGTTGGGTAGTTGCAACAGAGGAAGAGAGCCTGCAAAGCCTAAAATATTTATTGAAAAAATGTGTCAGTAAAATCAGTATAACTATTTTATTTCCAAATGAGTTGTATTTTGGAGAGGCCTCAAATCTATTTTGAAAACCTTTAGAACAAAGGAAAAGGAAAATCTTTAGAACAGAGACTTTTTTTTTTAGTGTACTAAAATACATGTAACCATTTTAGAGTGTGTGATTCAGTGGCATGAAGCACATTTGCAATATTGTGCAACTATCACCACTGTAGTTTCAATGCTGAGCACAGTGGCATATGCCTGTAGTCCCAGCCAAATGGGAGGCTGTGGTGGAAGGATTGCTTAAGGCCAGGAGTTGGAGACCAGCCTGGGCAACATAGCAAGACCCGTCTCTAAAAAAAAAAGAAAAAAATTAGCTGGGCATGGTGGCACATACCTGTAATCCCAGCTACCCAGGAGACTGAGATGGGAGGATAACTTGAGCCCATGAGTTTTACTCCTGCCTGGGCAACAACATAGTGAGACTCCATCCTTACAAAAAAATTTTTTAAGAATTAATTGGGTGTGGTAGTGTGTGCCTGTAGTCTTTGCTACTTGGGAGGCTTTGTCACCTGGGATAGAGTGCAATGGTGTCATCATAGCTCACTGCAACCTCAAACTGGGCTGAAGCGATCTTGCCTCAGCCTCCCGAGTAGCTGGGACTACAGGCTTGGGCCACCACATCCGGCTAATTTTTTCCATTTTTGGTAGAGACGGGGTTTCACTCTTGCTCAGGCTTCTTCTTTTTTTTTTTTTTTTCTATTTGTGATATCCTTTTTTTCCCCTCTGTATATTTTTTAAATTATTTTCTTAATGATTACAGTATACAATTAACATCTTAAACTTAATAATAACCTTGTGTTAATATAGCAATTTGGCTTCAAAATTATACAAAAACTCTGCTCCTGTACATTTCTGTCCCACTTTTTTAAAGTTGTTGCCACAAATTACATCATTATACATTGTTTGTCCATTACCATGGATTTATAATTATTTTATGTATTTGTCTTTTAAAACACACAGGAGCAAAAGAGGAATTACGAACCAAAAACTACCATAATAGTGTCTGTTACATTCACTTATGTAGTTATCTTTAACAGGGTTTTTTCTTTCTTTGTATGGTTTTGAGGTATTGTCTGTTGCCCTTTCATTTCAGCCTAAAGGACTCCCTTTAGCTATTATTGTAAAGCAAATCTGCCAGTGATGACCTTTTGCAGCTTTTGTTCATCTGGGAATCTCTTACTTTCTCCTTTAGTTTTGTGAAGGGTAGTTTGCTGGAGATAGAAGTCTTAGTTGACAGGCTTTTCTTTTTTCTTTCGGCACTTTGAATATGTCGTCCCATTGCCTTTATCCTCCGTGGTTTTTAATAAGAAATCAGATGTTGATCTTTATGCGGAATCCTTATGTGTGCTGTAAGTCACTTCTCTCTTTTTGATTTCAAGATTTTCTCTTTGGCTTTTGACAGTTTGATTATAATATGTCTTGGTGTGTATCTTTTTGAGTTTATCCTACTTCAAGTTCATTTAGCTCCTTGGTTGTGTAGGTTTATTTCTTTTATCAAATTTGAAAAGTTTTTAGCCATTATTTCTTCATATTTCTTTTGCCCCTTGCTTCCTCAGACTTCTGTTATCCATCTATTGGTATGCTTGATCTTGTCTAATAGGTCTCTTAGACTCTTCATTTTTTTATCATTCTTTTCTTTCTCCTGCTCAGACTGGATAATTTCAATGGACTTATCTTCAGGTTCATGGATTCTTTTTTCTGCCTTCTCAAATCTGCTTTCAAAACCCCTCTAGTGAATTTTTAATTTCAGTTATTGTACTTTCAGCTCAATAAATTCTATTTAGTTCCTTTTCATAATGTCTATCTTCTTATTTATAATTCTCTATTTGTCCAGACATTGTTCTCTTAGTTTCCTTAATTCTTTGTCCTTGGGATTTTTAGTTCTTTTCTGAGACATATTTCAGACAATGGATTTAAAAATGTTTGTGTAGTAAATCATTCTGTGGTTTCTCAAGCACAATTTCTTTTAATTTATATATTTTACTCTTAATGGGCCATACTTTTTAATTTTTTTGCATGCCTCATAATTTCTTATTGAAGAATGGGCATTTTGATCATGATAATATGGCAACTATGAAAATCAGATTCTCCTCTTTCTCCAGGTTTTGGTGCTGCTTATTGTAGTTAATTTGTTTAGGGACCTTTTGAATTAATTTTGTCAAACCTGTATTCTTTGTTAATGTGCAGTCTCTGAAGTCTCTATTCCTTTAGCTTAGTAGTTAGCTAGTGATTTGACAATAGAGGGTTCCTTAAATGTCTGGAGCAACAGAGAAAGAAAAAGAAAATTTTCCAAGTCTTTGCAGATTGGCTCTGTGTTGGGCCACTTCTTCAAAGCTGAGCCAGGCTGATTACAACTGTGACTTACCCTTCATTCCCTGCTTGTGCTAAGCTTAAAGGTCAGCCAGAGGTGAAAGCTTAAGGTCTCCTCAAGTTTTTTCTGATTACACACTCTGCCCGGGGCATGTACATGGCTTTCTATATTGTCTGATACATGTGGGAGCTTTTCGAATCCCTCATTCCAATGGTATCTCACACCCAGCTTTTCACTCAGGCTTTCAGTGTGTCTCTTGGTTGCCTCAATTATATCCTTTTTGCCCCAGGTTTCAACATCTTATTCATTTGTCTTTTAATGATTTTGAGGAACATTCTTTACATAGCTACTTTGCCACCTTGAGAGAGTTCCCAGTTAGGAAAAACAAAGACAAGTGCCTTACATCAGTTTTTCAGAGAGCCTCCAAACAGGTCTAAACAGACAAACACAATTCCTTTGAAACAAGGTATGCTCTGTTCCCTCTAGAACAAGGAACCCACATTTGAAATGCAGGCTGGCATTTAAAGGCTGCTGCCAGGCTAGGGAAAGGATTAGGCAAGGGTAAGTTAAAATGCCAGAAAACTTTCCTACCACATTTCAGCCCTTTCCTGGTTAAAAATTCTCTTAGTTGCTGCAAACTTTCCACTATCTTCCAGAGTTCCAATAAAGTTGATTCTAACGGTGTTTGCAAGTATTTTCAGTGTTTCTGGGGAGGGATGGGCCCTCAGAGTTCTCTTCTGTACCATTTTTGCTTATGTCACTCCAAAACAGGGATTTTTTTTTTTTTTTAACCTCGGTTCTCTGTACTTCTAGCAGGTTTGTGTAGGTCCTTAGGAAGTTAACAAACTCCTGAAATTGCATGCCAAAATTTTGGTGTATGTGCTTTTTTTCTGAGGTAAGGATCCATTATGGTCTCAACAGGGTCCACAACTCTCTAAGTTTCAAGGACTACTATTAATACTTTAGGTTTAAATATGAATAACTAAAACATAACTTACTATGTTGTGAAAAAAAACCTGTAAGTAGTAACTCCTTAGGAGTCTGAGAAGAAAAAATCTTGTTTTAGACACTCAGTTTCTTAGTAGATACTAGGGTTTATTGCAAATCAAATAAAAAACACTGAGACATGCCATCTGTTAATAATAAAACAAAAAACTTCCCATGTCAATAGATGATCTTCATTTAACTTGACCCTATATTCCTTGCTTTCTGAATTGGTATAATGTTTTAGTTTCATGATTAAAACAAAGATAATATAGTGCTTTTTAAAATGTATATAGAAATAAGTAAATTTCCCATGACACCCTTTATTTTCAAAGTGTTTTATGATTTTTTTTTAAGAATCCATTCAGATCATAGATTCAAACTTTAGAAAATAGAAATGTAATATGTTTATTTTTGTTTCTGAAAACATAATGAATTTTAAAGACGCTATTATCCTATTTTACCAGTTTGAATATCTTATAAATATATTGAAGAGAATTTTTATGTTACAATAGAAAATAGCTAAAGGAAAAATGAACATAAAGTGACAGTTCTTTTTTTTCTTTTTCTTGGCAGCTTATTAACAAATTCAAACAGACTTACAACAACAAGAAATGCTGTATGGGCCCTCTCAAATTTATGTAGAGGCAAAAATCCTCCTCCAAACTTTAGTAAGGTATGAGTAAAATATACGAATTAACAATTCTATCTCCATAAACTTAAGTTTCTTTATAGTAGATTTTTTGTGGTTGAAAGGATTCTATTTTTTGTTAGTGATTGTGTACTTTATTGACGAGACAATATTTGCACATATACAAAATTCAAAAGATTTACAGTTAAATGGAAATTTCCCTTTTCTTCCCACTGCTCAAATTCCTGTGCCCAGAGATAACCACTATAACCACTATATTTATGTATGTAGGAATTGACTTTAGAAATCTTCTAGTTTACAAAAAACTGAAGCCTCCCGAAAGATTAAGGTAGTAATTCCTTCAGATCCACTGTTCATGCTTTCCCATTGTAACTTTTATGTCCTAAGACTATCTTTTTCCCTGTCTACTGATATTTTTGCCTCTAGAAAGATAGATTAATAAATTCCAATTTAGTTCTATTGCTTACCAATAAGATGCTATTAGAAAGACAGAACATGGGTAAATTTTTAGAATACCATTCTACTTCTTTTGAATTTAGTGTCCATGTGAACTAAAGGGCACAATAAGCAATGACTATATAGCACTAAGAGAAGCTCAAAATTTGGTAAAGATCTGGTGATAAAGTTTCTGGGGGTAAAAAATAATAAATTTCAAATTCAATAAAGATAATGCATGAATTGGTATGCCTTCTCATTTATACTTTCACCATTACAGTTTTAAGAATTCATGATTTTGCCACATTTCATCTAAACTGCAAGTATGACTTAAAAATCTCATTATACTATGTCCATTCATCTGTTATCATACTCTATGGCATATTATGTATTTAATCATAATTCATAAAACTTTCTCAACCTTCCATGCCTATTTTGTTCCATGTTTATTGACAAATACATAATGTAACTAAAAAGATGATTTAAAGTATTATAAAATATGCTGAAAATGAAATGGGGAACAAAATTAAAATTTTAACCAGAAATTTGGTTTAATAGATACATCTTAAGAGAAAAAAGTTTTGAATAAGGTGTACTTCACAGATCCCCAAGGGAAAAAGTTATGCAATAATGTTACAATAAGGGCCTTATTCAGTTTTAAACTATTTTGTATGATTTGCAGTTTAATAATAGAAGGGAAAGAGATGAGTATTTCCACTGAGAATAATGCAAGGCAAAGAATTATGTGTGAGGTACACAAGGACCCTGCAAAAGACCTTTTCAAAACAAATATGAGCATTTTATGTTAATACTGATAATTTGGCAATGATTTTTATGCAGTTGAAGGGAAAAATGTTCAAATTTTGTCTGAGGAGATAATAAAGGCCAATATGTCTGATGATAAGTCTTGCATCTACTGTTTGTATGTTTAAACTTGCATATATAGAGTTGGCTTACTAATTAGAGTCATAGTTTTAACAATCACAGTAATTTCTTTATTTTGCCTCTTAGAATGGTATATACCTGTTTTTAAATTAAGTTTTTACTAAAAGAACCTTGGTTTATGCATTGCTCTTCTCTTTAAATTCTTTTCTTTAAAATGCACTTCTTTTGAGAGTTTCATTTTTCATTTTTCCCCCACTTTTGAAATAGAGGGCATGCATCCATACATGTTTATGTTGAGGTATTAATTATGTGAGGATATAATTGTAAGAATATAATTAGTTTAATATGCCATGTTTGATGTTTTCTTGTTTTTTTCTGCTTAGCAGCAGTATTGGATTTTTCTTAAGAAATGTTTACAATTCGAGATCTTTTTGTTCTAAATACATTTCATGATTTTTTATGAGTTCTTTAGCCATAGACAAATAGTAACAATTTTCTAAAACTTTGTAATAGCAAACACCTTCTATACATAATTTATTTTAAATAAATTTTCTCATATAATTGATAATACCTTTGAAATTTATATAGTTATGTTTTTCCTGAAGAATTTCCTTATTTGAAAGTTACTGAAATTT